GGTCCCCCCCCCCCCCCCCACACACACACACACACCCTATTTCTGAGCATAACATAATCTGATCAAGTTTATTATTTCCTGTTTCAGCTGAGAGTGCAAGAATGTCTTTCACTGCACCCCATCTCTCTAGATCTTCACACAGAGACTTTGGACTAAATAACGAGTTTAGAAAAGGGAGCAGGCAACATCTCCAAACTGCACCTGACTTGAACTGTGAACATCAACATTATCGGTTGGTATTCATAGTTGAACACTGTGTATTCCTCCTGGTATTTCACTAAAATTTCATTTTAATATTTCTTTCTAAACCGTTATGTACTGTCAAAATATCATTATCTTTAGTTGGCCGGCAAATAATCCTGCACCCAGTCAGCCGAAGACTTCAGATCTAAAGACGCAAGTTCAACAAGTTCGTTTCAATAAAAGTATTCCTCCCCTGTCTGCTCAGGAACCCACTCCTATGGAACTGTTTCTTTACCATTCACAAGCTGCAACATTTGCTCGAGGTCCAGGTAAGATGAATGAGAGAATAATAACCCACCAGACATGTTTATTTAGTAGCAATACAATGTACGGCAGTGTCACTTCTAAAACATTCCTTCAATAAATTTATTCGCTCCAAGCATCAGTTTTTACATAACCTAGATTTCTGATAATTTACCACAAACAACCTTGCACAAGATTCAGTCCTCCAAAATTGCAATCGATCTTGTTGTTTCAGATGTGATTCTGTATGCACTGGGCACCGCATGGGAACTGCATAAACCATATTTTCAAAAATCTGGATTATTAAGAAGAATGGTGAAGGAGGCAACAGAACAATCTTTGGTCACAGAAATGATGTCAGACAGTGATAATGAAACTTCCCAGAAGCAAGGTGAGTTGCAAACAGATCATTGTCTTCAGTTTTGTTAGCATTTTCCTGTCACATATGACATCCTAACAGATTTAAAGTTTATTTAATTTGGGTGTAAAGTTTGTGAGTTCACGTTATATGTCAGTCATGTTTTCGCTCGCTACTCTGGTTTTGATAAATGAATGCCAAGCCCAGTCGAACTGCATTCACAACCCAATGTTTCGACACTCCAGTCTGGTGTCTTCATTGATTTATTAGAAGAACAAAAAACATGATTAATTTGGGTAGCCAATCAGCATTAAAGTAGAACTCTAGAAGCATCACGTCACATACACTAATCCTACCTAGCTCCAAGTCGCTCTGCTGTTGATCTGCATGCTGTCAAAAGTGCCATAGGAGTAACAGTACCCAGGGAAGAAGAAACCTCTGCATTAAAACTGATACGCACACCGTCCTTTGGACATGCAATGGTTCTAAAACTCAAGATTAAGGATCCGCTGTTAACAAAACAAGGTAATTCTTGTTATATTAATTTAAAATGCATTCTGTAATAATAATTTTGTAAGTGTAGAGGCTGACTGTCGTTGAACATATTATCTGATTGCTTAGTTGGATTGGAGCGTAGCAGTAGTGGAAGTGAAGTCTGAACCTCTCTAGTGTGGTAGTTAGGAAGATATCCAGCGGGTAGTAGTCTTCAGAACAAAGATGTTATAATCACTCACTTAATATCTCTGCCGTCATATAAAACCCCGCTCAAACGAGAGTTGATGAGGATTGAAACTGTCGCTCGCGTTTGACATCAACTCTCATTGACTCTCGTGCACTTTCGTCAACTTTGAGCTGGTTCAAATTTTGATGAGAGTTTTCGCTACGCGCGCAGTAATATCCAGTCAACTCTCATGCAAACTTCTCGCTTCTCAACTCTCATGCAACTCTTGTTCTTGTTTGACCGGGGCATGAGAGTTGAGAAAACTCTCATGCAAACTCTCTCGTATCAACTCTCATGCAACTCTTGTTCTTGTTTGACCGGGGCATGAGAGTTGAGAAAACTCTCATGCAAACTCTCGTTTCTTAACTCTCATCAACTCTCATGCAACTCTTGTTCTTGTTTGACCGCGAGGCACGAGAGTTGAGAAAACTCTCATGCAAACTCTCGCTTCTCAACTCTAATGCAAACCTTGTTCTCGTTTGACCGCGAGGCACGAGAGTTGGGAAAACTCTCGTGCAAATTCTCACTTCTTAACTCTAATGCAAACTCTCATTCTTGTTTGACCAGAGCTTTAGAAAAGTTCTTCCAGTTCTTATCTCTGAAGTGGAAGACACATACACTGACCGTTGTACGACCAACGTAGTCCGATGGGCTACCGACTTGTAAAAGACTTTATTCCTACTAGTAAACAAACGCAAGACTGACATGTACTACTTTCTCATTGCAGCTTTTGCGTTGGCTCTCGGCTCACTGTATGTTGATCAAGTGAAAATGGATGATACAGATGTCGTTGGAGTTCTTGCTGCTGCCAGTCTCTTGGAATATGGAGAATTGAAGAAAGCGTAAGATTCTTCACACTACACCTGTATTTTGCGGCATATGTTTACAAACCCACAGCAATCGTAAAGCTTTGGGAAAATTAGTAGGAAACATTGTTACGGAAACATTCGACATTGCGGTGTTTCCTCGAATTTAAAAGAATTCAGGTAGTTCCGCCATTAAACAGTCTTTTGTTTCTTTAGTTGTGTAGATGTTATGCTGGGGACGATTACCGTTTCAACAGTGTGTGCTTACCATAGCGTGGCAACAAAGGTAAATAAAGCCCCGTTTACACTACGCTCAATTTTTGGTACGGCACGAATAAAATTGGCACCCGTACTACTTTTTTGGTTCTTGGACTACCTATTTAGGTCTTGGACTACCTATTTAGGTAGTCCAAGAACCAAAAAAGTGGTACGGTACCAAAAATCGAGCGTAGTGTAAACGGGGCTCAAAATATAGATAGTCCAAGAACCAAAAAAGTGGTACGGGTACCAATTTTATCCGTGCCGTGCCAAAAATTGAGCGTAGTGTAAACGGTGCTTAAATGTTTTAATATGTAATGGAAATAAACTGCCTCAGAAAATGTTGTCGTTAAACCGCAACTCGCAAGCTTAGTGATATTTCGTCAACCTCAAAAGTTAGGAGCCACTGTTTACTTTATCTATATATTGCATACTTTTCGACACTTCTTATATCTGCTTCTTATCCTTTGTTCTTGGTTTAGTATAAACAGATAACAGTGATCGATGCTTGTGAAAGATGGCTAGAACTCAATCTAGTTCCACAGGTAAGCCTGAGACAATGACATATTTCATGAATCAAGGAGAACATGGGGGAAATCTGTGGTGTTTGGTAGTACGAATAACTGGAAGCACTCATGTGACTGGACATGGATGAACAACTTGTCGTCAGTTGATGAATAACTTTAATTTCTTCTTCAGCTCTCTCTACAGATCTATCTTAGTCACCTACGACAGGACGTTCTCGAGAAATTACTAAAATCAAGCAGGTGCGGGTGACAGTGATTCACAACACAACACAACACAGCACAACACAACACAACACAACACAACACAACACAACACAATACAATATTTGTTTAGATTGAAGTGCAGTCTTTCAAATTTTCAAATTTGTGCAAAAATTATTTTTGACTCTCCAAAAGGTTGTTCACGTGGAATGAATACTCTCTGTACAAAGTTCTCGCTTATTGGATCTTTCTTCATCAACATCCTAAAATACGTGTAGGTGAATTAATCTGTTGAGAAATTAAATGCTTGATTAAATGACTGATTGATTTATCAACTGACCTGATTGACAGATCAGTGATTGATTGATTGACCATCCAGCCCGACCTACCGATCCATTAACGAGAATCTCCAACAAAAACATTGATTCGGTGCTTTTTCTCCTCAAGGTAATGCCATCGTGGAGTAGTGTAGTAACGTGGTTTATGAGGTAGGAACTTAGCTTTATGGACTGTGGAAATATGTAGTGAAAATGTTAAGAGCATTTCAAGCCAAATGGTATGTCTGCCTGTTTATCTCGTTGTTTGTTTTTCATCTCTCAAAAATTCAATTACTTGTTTCAGCTTACCAAAAACAAGCGCATTCCTGGATAGAGCTGAGGTATAGTCTTTTAAAGTACGCTTCTTTTTATGAATCTACAAATATTCGTATTTACTATCTACATTGTATGTTTACTTTCAGGGTCAAGGATACACCAGCTTGTTACGTTCACTGAGATTAATATCCATCACTGATAGTAAGTATTGGGCCACGTGTTATATATACAACCAATCGTTGTTTTGGTACTGATAGTAAGTATTGGGGCCACGTATTATATATACAACCAATCGTTGTTTCTACCCTCACCAGCCAAGTTCTCGGCTCCATTTTTGCGCATGGCGGATGTAAACTTGACGTGACCCAGAACTTTTATATTAATTTTCACTTTTATAACAATTGTAAATATATCGTTTAGGTATCCATCTTGATGAAATACATAAAATGAATATTATACCCCAATCATGGCTTCTTCATATTTATAGTCAAAATTATCACGCGGTAAGTTGCATGGTATACAGTGTTGGCTATGACCTTATGCGTAGAACGTGCTTATACAGAGATGACTTTCTGTTTCTATTCTCTCTAGCTGCAAGGAGGCGGTGGTGATATGTCTTTACTCACAAAATTTGACGAAGGTGCTGTTCGAGTTGGATTTATTTTAGATCAGGTTTGTATTTTTCTTCCATCGCCGAAAAAGATGTACCAGATTTTTTTCTCTTTAAACTTTTGAAATTCCAAACAAATCATTTCTCATCTTCAGAATCTTCAATATCATTCAAGTATGTTGTCGTTGCATGGCTTTCACTTTGAACTAAAAGCAACACAAGAGGAGTGCGGCCGACACTTGTTTTATTTACAGGTGGGTCATGTTACTATATAAGTATAAACATGTTGTTGAAATTTGCTGTTAAACTACACCTCAACATGGTATATTTATTCTTTGACACAAATATTTTTCGTTGCTTAAATAAGTAAAGAGAATTTTGGATCTAAAGTGTTCTAATTTTTTCTGTGAATTTCTAGAGGTTACGTCCGAATGATCCGATGTCGTTCAGAACAACTGAACGTCAGACGTTCTCGCTGAGACAGGACAGAGAGGTGAGTCGAGAGTGCGAGACCACAGAATAAAGACACACAGAAGGTCGACTCAGCCACAGAGTAAAGACTCAAAAAGCGTAACCGCTGCCACGCCATGATTCGTCATCAAAATGCTGACGCCATTTTTATCCATGAGTTGTGATACATTTTTGTTCTTAGGTTCGTTACAGCATTCGTGTGCAATGGGAAGCTGACAACACAACACAAGTTTATTCCAGTGGTAAGCTTACGTTACTGTCGTTGTTTTCATTGTTAGTATATTTAAGATATTTGAAGTCATTGTGTGCTGTTTTTATCTTAGGAATAATGAGTCATGCGTTTGGATTTAACGAAAAAACTAATGGGAGTGAGGTGTGTAGCAAATGTGTAACACTAACTTCAGGATGGCTGGAACCAAAACTAAATACTAGAATTTTCCATGTTGTCAGCCCCCCACGCTTTGTCACACCCTCCTTGTCACACCTCCCCCACTGGTTTCATTATTATAATCGTAAAACTTTTTCCTATGTCTTTTTCTCCGGTTTTTGTCTGTTTGTATCAGTCTGTTTATCTGACTGTCAGATGTCCATCTGTCTTTTGGATTGGGTAATGTGAACATAGATATGATATATCGTATTGATATATATTTTTTTCTTTACAGGTGATAACCTTGCGTGAACTACCTTCACCCATCTATGTGACGTTTTCTGTCATGTTTCCAACATCATAACCATAATGGGAGTCTACTAACAAGTATTTCTAACATTCTTTTGTGTATATATGTATAGTAGTAGAAATATATCTAAATGAAATCTGAAGTTGAATGGCAGCAAAAGTTGCCACCGTTGAATGGGAACAAAATGTTTTTACAAATGTTCCCCCGTACATTCGAAGACTCGAAATGCCCTTTAAGGTCTTATGAAGTTAAGGATATTTTTTCTAACATTTTGGCGTTTTTGCGGCGCAAGTGTTTATTGTTTACCTGTGGCACAGGAGTTCGATTTTTGCAATATGCTGTTTTTAGAGCAAACACTATTTTTGTATGAGCAAATTCACTATTGTGATGTGAACAAAACTCAGACGAGTGGGTCGTATGTAGAGATAAAATAGATAGAATTGCAAAATTCGGAATTTTCGAGAGAAACGCGAAATTCAACTGGTACGCCTTCTCGCTTGTGATATAGACGAACATGGCATTGCCAGGGTGAGCGAGGTTTCGTAGAAAACCATTATAGGAAACACAAACAGAGATACAATATCATATATATTTATACTACAGTTCGAACGCTTCCACGGTATGTTTTAAAAATATAGATAAGTATTTAAAAATTTTATATAAATAGAATATAAATAGAATTTGAATATAAATAGAATATAAATAGAATATAAAAAAGAGTGAAATATAAAAACGAATATCATTATTCTTCCCTGGCAAAGACAGTGGATTGTCTCTTATTGAAAGACTCGTGAGCCTTGGCCGCGTCTACGATCTTCTTGAAAAGGACTAGTACAGAAATAGAGATCAAAGCAAGAGGGAAAATAAGAGCCCACGATGTTCCACTCAGTGGTCTTCCTCCTGAAAGTAAGATACCCGCAAGTGCCATGGCCATGGACAGTATGTTATGTTGACTGCTCCAGAACGGATTGTCAAATTTCCATGGGCGGATGAACACATTAGGGATCTATACAGAAAATAATCAATGTTAGTTACTATCACCGGGAAACCGGCTCTCCTCTGGGCTGCATTCCTGTGATTTGAGGCAGTTTCTCTTTTCAAAAACGTAACTGAAAAACTCCGCGATCAGATATGGGTATCAGATACGTTTGAGATGCGCAATAGAATTCCCAATCAGTAACATTAGTTGATGCAATAGATATTCCCAAGATGATGGCTTCACAACCTCGTCCCAGGACTTTTTCGGGCGATTTTGGTAAGTTACATTTTCCGAATTGTGTTGTAATACATGTATGGTTGAACAAGCTGTCAAAATATAAGAACGACACATTGTTGAAAGTTCTTAAACACCTATGTTGTTATAACCTAATTATAGACTTTGTTTTGCTATGCTGCTCATTGTGTTATGTATTTTGTAGATTGTTTTTTCGTCCGAAATATGTGCTCATCGAAAACATCTATTCTGCTCTTAGATGCAAGTGAGGATCATGAGCCCCCCTACCATCACTTTACCATGACCGTATCATGTGACTAGCACGTGGACAAAGGAAAACTGTTCTTACCTGTCGTAATCCAATCGGAGCAGGTATAAGCATGAGAAGAAATGTCGTTGTAGAAAGATATCCGTAAACATACAACCATATATGTAAGATATAAGCAAACACGATGCCAATACCGTGAACTATGCACGACAACTGCATTCCCAGCCTTGCGACCAGTGTTAGTTTTCCTAGAGAATATCAAAAGGTGATCAGCAACGCTTATATATAAGACGCCCTTGGTCTCAGACGTTAACTCGATGGCGATAAAACAAAGGTGATAGTGGTAGGCTTAACGGAAACTTAGGAAAAGTTTATTTAAGGAAACAAATACACGTGCATTAAAATTTTTAAAGAACTATTAAAGGAATAAACATTTGGCGAACGCGTACCAGTGATTTTATCAGGTTCCAAGTCAGCCATATTCATAACCATCATTCGGACAAATTGTATTGGTACTAATGGAAGTAATATTGCCCACAACAAACTGTTACCAAATGGTGAACTGGGATCATGTGATTGATAACCCACCAATGGTACAAGAATATTCAAAACAAGACAAACGCTCGCCTCACCCAGTCCTCTACGCGACGTGCTGAGAGGCCAGGCACTATAACCATGTCCAAAAATAACACCCAGGACTATAGTCATAGTTGCTGGGACATTTCCAGTGATTCCATAATAAATGGCCGCGTTTGATAACACTATCAAAGAGATTAATCTTCCAATCAATAACGACACTTTTGGTTTCAATTTTCCTTCCACCAATACTCGCGAACCTCCAGTCCAGGGGCTTGGGTTCTTGTTGGCACAGTCAGCTTCGAAATCGTAATATTCGTTAAAATAATGAGTCATCGCATGGATGGCATGAACCAAGAGACAAACCCAGATGTAGGAGCCAAGATTGAAAGGCAAGGTTGGGTTGCTCTTGTAGGCGGCTGCCACGCCCACTGTGTATATAACATTACTGTACATGAGGAATTTTGGCCGTCCTAGACGGAACATATGCTCTAAAGGTGTTGTCATTGCTAACCCAAGGTCTTTGTTCTGAAAAACAATAATAAAGTAGGTAGTAATTAAGTATTTGACATTTTTTAACCTAAAATTGTGACCCTCAGAGTAAGAGATGTTCGTGGTTGCTATATGTATGGTTCTGTCATACATGGCTTCACAGTGAAAGAGTTCACATTCGAACCACGATCACGATGACGTCACTTTTTAGATAGGGCCACTTCATGAACACGATGACGTCACTTTTAGGGTCCGCTCTTATTGGTGTTAAGCTGTTGTGGTGTCCCAGCTTCTTTAATCCAATTATTGTATGATGTTTGGAATTGAAGCACGATAAATAAATAAGATTCCATTGAAAGTTTTAAACATGTCAATAAAGATATTAATTTATATGTATTCGCTCTCTTGGCTCGAGATTTAGTGTCTGTATTGGAGAGGTCCGCATTATAGAGGTTATTTTTGAGGAGACTATAGGAGAATCTAGTCAGGAAACTCAGGAAATACAAAACTGTCCGTATTAGAAATGTGTTTGTATCAGAAAAGTGTTCGTATTAGAGTGATGTCCGTATTAGAGATGTGTCCGTATTGGAGATGTGTCCGTATAAGGCGTTAAGGAAAATATAAGGCGTTGAACATGACGGTTTCCATATTTACGAGTGCATTACTACATAGTTTCAACAGGACTCTCAGTTCTTGATTTAAGAGTTCTTTAAATATGATATTTATCATTCCTTGAGAGTGATGTCTAATGATAGAATCTAAATCGATGACGCAATAGTGTACTTTGTTCCAAATACTATATAAAGAGTCTAACTTTTCAGGTGGGATAAAAAGCTTTTGAAATCGGGCAGATTATATTTAGGTAGAATAATTTCGAGTGGGATGAAGCACCCTTACTCCTTAGTCATCCAAGTAATTGTCTGACGAAAGCCTTCTCATGAGCCTTCGCCTGGGCATTAAGTGTCAAACTCACCGGCATATATATTGTCACTCAGCTTGACTTGGACTGAGAATCAGACTTATTAACAACTCCGGCAGGGATTGAAGTTAGTATTAAGGTTAGAAGTTGTTTTAAACTGAGGTTGTTAATATGGAAATCGATCAGCGTAGACAAAATAATCGGTCGTTGTGGGTCACGGTGCTCTATGTTATCTAATGGTGTAATTATGTCCTGTTCCCATGTAGACTGTTACAGCTCGGTAATAGGTAATTAACTTCAAAGGCGTTGCCTTGTATTGCTTAATCATCCTATACCATCAAACATTACCCTCCCAATGACCTCTCCTTGAGTTACCGGTCCTTCAAGGCCGTAAAGCCCGTTTTCCACTCACGTATTTCGCCGCCGCTGGCGAAAAATTGACAAAGAAATCATTTTTTTACATTCATTCGCCGCTGAAGAAATTTGTTCTCCTGCTACAGTTGCTTAACATTTTCAACTTCTGTTTGACCTTTCGTTGACGGCACGAAAGAACAACAAATGAACTTTTTCGGTGGCGAAATACGCGAGTGGAAAACGGGCTTGATTCGTCAAAAAAAACATTTCAAGAGCTCTTATACGATCGCTTCACACCCACTTGAATATACTGTATATTTGTTTTCGGAGATATATTTTGGACATGTAGGAGCATAACAAGCAAGGCAATTTAAACTCGGTTGTTGATGTTATTGGATTAGGCAGTAGAATTGTCACTTTTTAAAGAGTCACTGTCAACCACAATGCATTTTGCGCCAAAGCTGCTTGGCGGCCATTTTAATGGCGTAATAATTAATAGCTGTTTCGGTTTTCAATCTATAATATATTACTACCATCCTGTGGTTATACTTGTTCATTTAACTTTTTTATACTAAAATTGCACCAAAGAAATGTTTATAATCGTCATTTGTTGCTATTTGTCACTTCCGAAGGTAAGATGTAAACAAATGACTCTTTATGGAAACAAAGGCAAAAACTCGTATGGGTAATATATTAACCGCTTTTGAGCAAAAATCTCGTCATGCATGGTCATTAAACATGTGACCATGCAACCGACAGAAAAGGTAGATTTTACAGAAAATCAAAACTGTGTCTGCGCTGTAGATCTAGAATGTCTTCGATTCAGCTTAACAACCCTGATTATTTCAGATTTTTTAATAAATATTGCAACTGCCCGAACGTAAATTTTAGGTATAACCATGCAGGAGGTTTCAGCGCTAATGTCATGATCGCCTAAGTTCTGGAAGGTATATGCATGTATATTTCAACATTTAAACCTGGTTTCCATATATGGTCGTAAAAGATTGAGTCACGATCTTTCTCATCAGCCGAAATACAACATTTTAGAACTGAAAATACGCAGAGTGATTAGGGCTAGAGAATACTTATGATTTATATGTGGTTTACAGGTATAAACTATTATAAACTGGCCGTTGAGAAAGATCGTGACTCTATTTTTACGACCATATGGAAATTAGGCTTTACAAGGTTTTAAAAGCCGATGATGCCATCATCATCATCTTTTGTCAATTTTTTTTTAATACGTGCACGGTGTATAAAAAAAAGGTAATCGAACTTCAGCGCGCTATTTGTACGTGAATAACTCGGCGAATGAACAAATTTTTTTCATATTCGGAAAGATCAGGCTTGTAGCTATTGAATGACATGTTTTTCATGCCAAGTGAAGAAAAAATAAGCAAGTACGAGTCCGATAAAAAATGTTAGTCAGAATCGCATATTTTCACTTTGTGCCTAATTAAAGCAGTGCATAACAAAAGAAAAGGCAATTAATCACGAATTTGACACAGCTTAGGCTAAAGTTTAATTGTGGGTTATACCAATCACTGACAATTTTAGAAAGCTTGAAAAAGTCGCTATCCGGTTTTCGTGCTACTGCATGGTCTCTGATCTTTAGGAAAAATAAATGTATACGACTATAAACTCAATACCTTAACGCACAGACACCGTAATCTCTTTATGTCTACAAGTATAGGTTATTTGTTAACAACTTAACAGTCCTAAATGTCCATGCTTGTTACCCACCCAGACATCATCATTCCCCGACAACAACAAGGTATATACAGATAAATACCTGAACGTTCATTTCGCCTGGTTCGAATTTATACAAATTGAAATGAGACAAACTGCTTACCGAGAAATATTTCTTCGTACCAAATCAAAACTGTAAAAGCTGTGTCAAAAAGTGAAGAACTTCTCAAACCAAACAAGAAGTTTGCAGTAATGAATGAGTGACAAAATATGCCACCTTTTATATTCATAGCAGGGTTGTTTAGTTGATGAATAATTAGGCCAAATCGTCATTAGTGCCGTTTAGAAAACAAAGAAAACAAAAGACCAAACAAAGAAAACAAAGGCCTAGTGTGACGGTGTGTGGCCTAATTATTCAGCAAACCTACCAACCCTGATTCATAGAAGCCTCATTAACATTTATAAGAGGAAGTCATCGAGATATCGTGGATTGTATCTTAACTGGATAAAGCTGCATGGATAATAAATCATTAGTCATAAGTTTACCCTTTCTGTTACACTGTATGCTTCATGCTTCTTGACCTTTTTACAGTTTTATCAGTCTTGCTAAAACTTATGTTCTGTAGTCCTTCACGATCGAGTTAAACTGATCAGATCATCAGTACATGTTCATGAATGAGTGCTGTCATAAAAGAGTCGTTCAACGCCTCTATCGAAAGTCGTGGGTTTTCCCCTGGTGCTCCGGTTCCCTCCCACAGGGAAAACTGGCAGGGTGGGTTAGGATATAAACACAGTTAAGAAAGTAATATCACAATTGTTGTAAAGATAAAATAGTCTAGGCTAAATATGTAATTAGGTAAGCGTAATACTTGATGTAAGCGCATTTGATCATATCCAGACCTCATCTAAATTTGCACTATATAGAAATGTTAAACGTTTCCAGAGGGCCACAGAATAACGATCAGTAACAGAAGGGCCACTCAGCGGTGCAACGCGTCCTCGTTTTTGTATGCAAAAATATGCAGTTTACTGGCCAGAAGGCGGAGCAGCCAGCCAGTACAGCGTGTTTATTGGCCAGAAAATGTCATTGGCTGGCTAGGAAAATGGCGGCCAACATGCGTAATGCGACATGCGCGAGGACAGGAACTTCAAAGCTTCCGACGTAAGTGGCCCTTCTATATGGATCTTTATTCTGTGAGAGGGGGTCAACAACTTTCGTCCGGTTTAAAGTACAACAAAAACTGAATATAAGCGCTGGCTCTAGACCCACGTACCGCCGTAATACTAGATTCCCCGTATTACGTTTTCGTAGCGCTTTGCATTGTGGTTATAGTGGTATCACTGATATTCAAGATGGCTTATTTTTTATCCTGACCCATGCAAGAACTTTTAAAAATAGCTAGGGTCAGGTGCGCGATAGCCAACAGCAAAATATTCGCGAAAACATTCAATATTTTCATTCGAGGCCGCTATCTTTATCAGTGATACCACTATAACCACAATGCAAAGCGCTACGAAAACGTAATAAGGGGAATCATCAATTACCGCGAATATGCGTATGAAATTTCCTTCTTTGCCATCTCAATCTGTATATGTGTGTTTCATTGCAATATTTTTTGAAGTTGTGTAGCCCACATAAGGCAACACTATCCCGGGGTTATATAAAGACCATGTATGTACAAGAATGAACATATGCTTGACGCCCAAACGATACTGCATGTGGCAAAATTACCATAAAGGAAGTTCGTATAGACTTTTCTGTATAGGTGTTAAAAAATGATAACCTAGCAACTGGTTTCGGTTCATACACAGTTTGCCAAACAGTCGAATAATTAACGTTACGTAATCAGTGCCATGGTCAGATTTTCCCACAATCTATTGATTAGAGAAATCGGTAAACCACCCACAGTGGTGGCCAAAACCTTTTCATCTCATCTAAAATTTCATCCTTGGGGAAATGACGAGCGTCCATTTGCATGGAACTGTATGCCATTTACAGTGGATTGAATTTATCAACCCCCAGAACTAAATATTTTTCAAATCAGTTTTTAGTTTAATACAATCTGTTTTGGCCATCAAATAATCAACAAATACTCTAGTTGCCTAAACTGGAAGTCTAATGTGTTCCGAGTTTCAAGTGTGCAAAATTTTTATTCTTGACTTTACCGCTTCACAGAGCGTCTCAACAGTATTAAGTCATCCAGGATGTGATCTCCTGCTGTTAATCACCGTTATTACATCGTCAACGAGCGTCAAACATATCAAGCGAAACAAAGAAGCGGGAGACGTTGCCGCCCGTCTGATGTAGCTTCTCCACAGACATCTCAAAAAGATGCCTTGTATACAGAGAGTATTTTTCTTCTAACGCTAAACATCCTGCGGGGGAGGCAGAGCATTTTTTGCTTCATGAGTACGCTATATATACACTCTGATATATATATTGACCACAATTAAGTATAGGTTATTTTGAGGCAACGAGGGGATATGTGATTTATTCACCGAGGCGCGCAGCGCCGAGGTGAATAAACACATATCCCCGAGGTGCGAGGTCGCGTTAACGAGTCAGAAAAGAAATAATTCTTAATGCCATATTGCCTTCGCGATGTTGTTTCTCATTTTTTGTGCTGCAAAGACATTGCAGGTGAATATTAGAGGGGATTATTAATTGCAGGTGAATATTAGAGGGGATTATTAAACGGAAATTGATTAGAGGGGAATATTGAATATATTCGCCGACAAGAACAAAGGAAACCGAGCAGGGTGAAAAATAAATGTGGGTATTCTTCGGGTGCTCAGGTTTCCTCCTACAGGGAAAGTTGTCAGGGTAGGTTAGGATAAACATAGTTAGGATATCACAATTGTTGTAAAAATAAACAGTCTAAGCTTGGTAGGTAATATAAGTAAGCGTAATACTTGATGTAATCAGTCACTGAAAAGCCCCGATGGGGAGTGAGCTGAATGATCAAAATCAAGTGAATGGACAAAAGTCTAAAATTATCGAAAATATATAGATCGATCTCCAAGATGTATGTTGCAAGGCCAAACTTTCGATTTTTCCCCTCCTGAGATTCTACTCGTGTGATATAAATGTATACTGCCCGACTCGTACTCGCACGAAGAATTAAACACCACTACATATAACAAAAGTATTATTTTTTCTGACACTGTACCAGTGATTCAGTGAACAAAAAAACAGTTCTCCCTAATCGTTTTTCCTTTTCGTCCAAAGATGAAACGGATGCGAAACTACAAATAATGATTTTGTTTTGGTGACAAATCTTACATATTATAACAGTGAATGATGTAATCCAAGTATCCTGTTTCATAGGTTCTGAAACAACCTCGCTCCCAGAGCTCTACGCTTGTGACTAACCAACTTCGTGAACTCTGAAAGTTACAAACCGCAGAAGCAGTGGGTTCGAGGTTTGGTTCTAAAAACGCTCTGGATTAAAATTCCTTTTTTGTCTTTTATTCTTTCCACCAAAAAGATTACAAAAAAGGTTATAATATAATTAAAAGATACACTGATAATTATAACAACACTATTGCATGCAACTCTATTGTCTCTTATTGAAAGACTCGTGAGCCTTGGCCGCGTCTACGATCTTCTTGAAAAGGACTGGTACAGAAATAGAGATCAGAACAAGAGGGAAAATAAGAGCCCACGATGTTCCACTCAGTGGTCTTCCTCCAGAGAGCAAGATACCCGCAAGTGCCATGGCCATGGACAGTATACTATGTTGACTGCTCCAGAATGGATTTTCAAATTTCCATGGGCGGATGAACACATTAGGGATCTATACAGAAAATAATCAATGTTAGTTACTATCACCGGTAAGCCGGCTCTCCTCTGGGCTGCATTCCTGTGATTTGAGGCAGTTTCTCTTTTCAAAAACTAATCCTTCCACCTTAGTTGTGCTCCGCGATCAGGCATGGATCTTATGGTGACAGCCCTACAGTATAAGCGTTTGAGATGCGCAATAAATACTCCCAATCAATAGTAATAGATGATGACACAGTAGGTATTCCCAAGATGGCTTCACAACCTCGTCCCAGGCCTTTTTAGGGCATTTTGGTAAGTTACATTTTCCGAATTTTATCAGTTATTTATTATTTTTTATTGTGTTGTTAATACATGTATGGTTGAAAAAGCTGTCAAAATATTATTAAGAACGACACATTGTTGAAAGGGCTTATACACCTATGGCTATGTTGTTATAAACTAATTTAATATAGACTTTGTTTTGCTATGTTGCTCATTGTGTTATGTATTTTGTAGATTGTTCTTTCGGCCGAAATATATGCTCGGACCGGCTTAGCCATCGAGAACATCCATTCCGCTCTCAGATGCAAGTGAGGATTATCAGAATCCCCTATCACCACTTTTCATGTGAACAAAGGAAAAATCAATTGGTGCGCAAAGTGTGCTAAAACTGTTCTTACCTGTCGTAATCCAATCGGAGCAGGTATAAACATGAGAAGAAATGTCGTTGTAGAAAGATATCCGTAAACATACAACCATATATGTAAGATATAAGCAAACACCATGCCAATACCGTGAACTATACACGACAACTGCATTCCCAGCCTTGCGACCAGTGTTAGTTTTCCTAGAGAATATCAAAAGGTTAGACATCGCAAACAAACAAGAGAGGAAGAGTAACTATATATTATTAACTTTTTAGCCTCCACAGGCATCTCTAGGGTTTATGGTTAGGGCCGTAATATTTGGAGAAGGTTAGCAACACTTAAATATAAGACGCCCTGGTCTCAGACTCCGACGTTAACTCGTGTCTGCATTGTAAAAAGTTCTTTGGCGATAAAACAAAGGTGATAGTGGTAGGCTTAAAGGAAACTCAGGAAAAGTTTATTTAAGGAAACAAATACACGTACATTCAAATTTTTAGAGAACATATTCAAGGAATAAACATTTGGCGAACACTTACCAGCAATTTTGTCAGATTCCACGTCAGCCATGTTCATAACCATCATTCGAATAAATTGTATTGGTACTAATGGAAGTAATATTGGCCACAACAAACTGTTACCAAATGGTGAACTGGGATCATGTGACAGATAACCCCCCAATGGTACAAGAATATTCAAAACAAGACTAACGCTCGCCTCACCCAGTCCTCTACGCGACGTGCTGAGAGGCCAAGCACTATAACCATGTCCAAAAATAACACCCAGGACTATAGTCATAGTTGCTAGGACATTTCCAGTGATTCCATAATAAATGGCCGCGTTTGATAACACTATCAGAGAGATTAATCTTCCAATCAGTAACGACACTTTTGGTTTCAATTTTCCTTCCACCAATACTCGCGAACCTCCAGTCCAGGGGCTTGGGTTCTTGTTGGCACAGTCAGCTTCGAAATCGTAATATTCGTTAAAATAATGAGTCATCGCATGGATGGCATGAACCATGAGACAAACCCAGATGTAGGACCCAAGATTGAAAGGCAAGGTTGGGTTGCTCTTGTAGGCGGCTGCCACGCCCACTGTGTATAAAACATTACTGTACATGAGGAATTTTGGCCGTCCTAGATGGAACATATGCTCTAAAGGTGTTGTCATTGCGAACCCAAGCTCTTTGTTCTGAAAAACAATAATAAAGTAGGTAGTAATTAAGCTATTTTTAGTTTTTTAATGGTCTGTGCCAGTGTTTGCCAGTGTAGCTTGGGATTGGTAGGGATACAACTACCTGAAAAATACAAGGAGAACTTCGACGTTTTGAGCGAAGGCGCTTTCTTTGTAGGCCAGGCTTCGGCTCGAAACATCGATCGAAGTTCTCCTTTTATTTTTTCTGGCGCAATATTTTAATAGGCAAATTAAAATGCTATTTCCGGTCAAAAAATATCCCGCTGACTTCACTAATATTACTACAGATTGAAAATTATACCGAAATAAAATTAAGATGAAAAACTGAAGCAACAAGCTTGAAAATAACACTCTAAATAGTGTTTTGGATTGATTACGAAAAAGATATGTCCGAAGGGGCCAAAGTTATGTTCGGCGAAAGGTATGGCTTAGTACAGTAATACTAATACAGTATACTATTGTCATTGACATTGTTTAAATTTTTCGAACAAAGTACAAAGGTCATAATTCGTAAATCGCTATAATGTTTGACTTTGACTAAAACTATCGTTAGGAATTAGGAGATATCGTTTCACTGAATCGAACAATGGTATTTTCATCTACATATATATAGCATTCACTGAACCGAAGCTTACTATATATTCCTCTAATATTATTCCACTAAAAGTCCTAAAGCCTGGTTCACATACAGTATGACCACGGTATGCCTGCGCTATCATTGTTCACAGCTGTTTCTGCATACATTCTTTTATAAACTATTTGGTTGAACTGCTAACGACAATAGCCCGTCGATATGCCGCAGGTCGATATACCGCAGGTATATATATTATGTGAACCATGCTTATAAATTCCTTAATTAAATGTCCGTACCCACCCAGACACCATGTATTCCCCCGACAACAACAAAATATATACAGATAAACACCTATATACGTTCATTCCTCCAGGTTTGAATTTATACAAACTGAAATAAAGTCGACAAACTGCTTACCGAGAAATATTTCTTCGTACCAAATAAAAACTCAGGCTGAATAGAAACTGTAAAAAGCTTTGTCAAAAAGTGAAGGACTTATCATTAACACTTGTCACTTATATGAGGTCATCGAGGTCTAGTGGTGTCCTCTATCAACTATGCACAAAATTAGCTAAATCATTACTATTACTTGTATTTGTCATAAGTTTACCTTTCTGTTACACTGTATGCTTCATGCTTCTTGTGATTTACAATTTTATCATCCTTGCTAAGACTTCGAACTTATGAGTTAATGTTCTGTAGTCCTTCCCTAACCCTAAATTGTTCAAATATTTATATACAAAGAACTTTTACAAACTACATTTTACAAAAAACTAATTATAATCTAACAATTAGTGCTTATACAGGGTGTATAGAAAAAAGGAGACTTTAGAGATCAACCATTGTTATAATTTGAATGCCTCCAGGATAGTACAATATACAGGGTGTATAAAAAAAAGGTAATCGAACTTCAGCGCGCTATTGTAAGGGAATTACTCGGCGTATGAATAATTACTCGGCGTACGTATAATATTCGGAAAGATCAGGCTTTTAGCTATTGAATGACATGTTATTCATGCCAAGTGGTGAAAAAATAAGCAAGTAGAAGTCCGTTAAAAAATATTGGTCAGAATCGCATATTTTCACTCTGTGCCCAATTAAAGGATCGTGACTAAAACACCACACGAGTGCATACGAGTAACACACAAGTACATACGAGTAACACACGAGTACATACGAGTAACATACGAGTAACATACGAGTACATACGAGTAAAACACAAGTACATACGAGTAGAATACGAGTACATACGAGTAAAATACGACTAGTAAACTTGTTTTTAGTGTTTGTAGATTGAATACAAGCAAAAAGATCGTCTTCTCTGTCGAAAAACGTGGAATGGGGGAACGGGGAATGGAGGAACAGGGAATGGGGGAACGGGGAATGGAGGAACGAGTAACGGGGGGGGGGG